GGGATCGCTGGCCGTAGGAGTCTGCGAAGGCCGCCAGCTCGTCCATCGACACCGCAGGCACGCCGGTAGCAAAGTTCTTCCGTGACAGCATCTCGGATTTGGAGCGCGGCTGGCTGCAGGCAGATGGTCACTGGTTACTGCGTCTGCAGGGAAACCTTGCAGGACACCCCAAGAGTTCCAGAGGCCCAGCCTCTGCCCTCCACCCAGAAGGATGAGTGACTTGGGCACCTTTCACACCACAGGTCCAGCAAGTGCAACCCTAGCTCTTTCAGGAGTTTGCGTGAAAGATCAGAATGGGGTTTTGTATCAGAAAATAGCTTGTGATCTATGTACTGCTAAAACAGATCACGATGAGACCCTTGGTTGACAGTCACACACTTCACCCACCCACAGCAAATAGCAACACACAGCTCTGGATCCAGGAGACTGGAATATCTGATGACATGGAGAGGACTGTTCCTCCCTCAAAGCCAAAGACCAAGTTACCTATTAAGTCAGGAGATCAGAGACCTCTGCAGTGGATAAAAGAAAGGTGGGGGGTGGGGTGGGAGCCTGCTATCCTTCAAGGGCAAATGATGGGTGCAGGTGTCAGTCGGGGAGGGAGGCATCACACAAATTGTTAAACGTTGATTGGGCTTATCACCCTGGGTAAATTCCTTAGTGCCTGGAACTTTCTGTTGCCTTGCCTTAAAATAGGGACATTAACAGAAGCTGCCTTTTAGAAGTATACAGACTAGCCGGGCGTTGGTGGCGCACGCCTTTAATCCCAGCACTCGGGAGGCAGAGGCAGGCAGATCTCTGTGAGTTCGAGGCCAGCCTGGTCTCCAGCGCGAGTGCCAGGACAGGCTCCAAAGCTACACAGAGAAACCCTGTCTTGAAAAACAAAACAAAACAAATCTTTAAGTATACAGATTAATTACAAGGATGTTAATACATGCATGACCATGGAAACAATGAGTGGGAATCTTTCAAGGTTATAGGATAAGACATATGAAGAAAGCAATATCTGAATTTATAAAGGGGGCTAAGACACACAGTTTAAAGAGTGTTAAATGATTACTTCTCACACACATCACAAGAGTGTAATATATGTAAAAAAGAGATATTCCGTATCCCATAGAAAGAGATGTGAAGAATAACCTAGAATAGACACTTGGTGGCCCCTGCCCACAGCCGGCCATCACCTGTGCCTGAAGCTCTCTCGGTCCTCTTTGTTATACTCCAGGGCTGGCCCCCGGTTGGTCCCACTGTTGCCTCCCATGACACCTGACCAATAGTCAGGATTGCTCTCCAAGTCCCCAGACATTGGGAACTGCTTGTTCCTCATCTGGTGGTAAGACTGACGGAAATTGTTGTCATCGTCATGCAGGGAGCTGAGTTCTGAGATGGTGTTGTTATCTGCAGGGACAGAAGCAGGCATCACAGAGTTTTCTACATGTTAGGAAGGGGATGCTGTTAAGGGCTGAGATTGCATACTCCAGTAACTCCTGCCTGGGGGCTTGGTCCTGACCAGTGTGTGCTGCAGATCTGCGGGGGTGGTATTTGTGTTCCTAGCTCAGCAGGAATTGGCCCCAGCTCAACCCCAACTTGCTTACAGAGAGGGAGGCTTCCTACATGCTGCTCTTGGAACAGGAGGACAATTGTCTTTGTTCCACCTAAGGCAGGCTTCCCAGAACTCAGGCTGTCTGCAGCTGGACTCCTACTACATCATCCTTGTTCAAATGTTTTTCTCTGCCCCGTATAATTTCTGTGATGAACTTTAACTATCCCAGCCATGTTGGGCCAAAAGAGACAAAGAGGGAGAAAAAGCCATCTATCATAGCATCTTCCCTACAGCTGACCCAGTCCCAAGAAAGGGGCTTTAGTATCACCGCCATACTTTAGAAGAAGCCCCTTCTCTCCTTCTGCCATTCCATTTCCCAAAGAGTACAAAGTCAAGGTCAGGAGTACGTATGGTTTCAGTATGCTTACCTTTTAGACCATGATCATGTAGGAACCTATAGTATCCTGCCCAAGTAGTACCAGATCTACTTCTAAGGTCTGTTCCCCTCCCTTCCAGGCTAGAAGTTTGGAGATAAGGAGGATGGACTTCCCCATTAAGACCACTGGGCTGTAGCTTGAACTCTTGCCCCAGCCTAAAAATGTAAGAAAGGTACCTAGTCACTCACAGCTTTCTTGTTTCCTAAGCAGCTTGGTGCAGAAGCATTTATGGACTAGGACCAGAATTTTTTGACCTAGGCTGGAAAAAAAACCCAGTAAATTTGATTATTTATAAAACTTAGAAATATATTGAATTTCACTTTATCTAAAAAACAAATCTAGTGAACCTATTTGCAAAGTAACTGGATCCAATTGTTCTCTAAATCTTTTCACTTAGACTTCAAAAATATTATTAAAAACAACATTTACTAGTTTAAAGTTCTTGCTGCCGAGTGAAAGGTAAGCCAAGATTAGATCTGGGAATGCAGCAATGTGTATCTCAGGTTCCCTCTGCTTTCCCTGCATCCCCAGAGGTACTGGGAGGAGCAGAGGAATCTTGTACAATAGCAGGACCTCCTGGTCTTGTTTTACCAAGAACACACAGGAATAGCAATTTACTCATGGGATCATTTGGTTTTGAATTATGATAAAATTTAAACTTGTCTACCTCTCAAAGAAACAGACTATGTGTGTGTGTGTGTGTGTGTGTGTGTGTGTGTGTGTGTGTGTGGTGCTTGCCTATGTGTGTGCATATGGAAGCCAGAGGACCTTTTATTTTCACCTTATTCTCACACCAAATCTGGAGCTAGGCTGGTGTCCACCAAGCCCCAATGATCCCCTTGCCTCTGCCCCCTTAAAGAGCTGGAATTCCTGGAAACTGCAACCATGTCCAGCTTTTGACATAGATATCTGGATCCAAACTGAGGTCCTCATGCCTGCACAGCAAGCAGTCTAACCCTCTTGAGCATCTCTCCAGCCATTATACCTATTTTAAAAGTAAACAGCTCATAGACTGCTGATGAAAATCTAGAACATTCCCAAACAATTCCATGAACTCCAATTCCCTCATGAGCATACAAAAAAAAAAAAAAAAAAAAAAAAAAAAAAAAAAAAAAAAGCTTTAAAACACACTTGATCAAACCACTGCAAAACAGTGTTGTTGGCTCAGAACTTTCTGTAAATTTCAGGTAATACTTGACACTTTCATTTCCCCAGATTGTAAGTGCTGTCACAACCCACCCCTAGTAACAAGCTGCCCAGGTTATATGCTACACTAAAATTTCTGCCAAGGTGAGCACAAACATCAGTGTGCCCTTTGATAGGCATCTAATAATGCCAGTTTAGGACAGGGGCACACATTTTCTGTAAAGGACCAAGCAGGGAATTTTAGGCTTTGTGAGCCATACTGGTTATAACCATTCAGTTCCACTATTCAACAAGAAGTTATAGAAGATGCATAAGTGAATTAGCCTGGCTGCATTCCAATAAAACTTTTAAAAAAGAGAAATTGAAATGACTGTGCCCAGGACATACTGTTTGCAGACTCCTGCTCTAGACATTCCAAGAATGTAAACATCCAGGAGTAACTACCACTTACAAGGGTAACACAAAGGAGAATCACAGTGGCTAAAAGATTTATGAACCTGGACCTCAAACCCCCAATTTTTACGGAATCTGTGAAACCAAGATACCTACTTTATAATAAGATTTTCTAGACTGACCATTCCATGACCTGCTCTGGGGCTTTCTCTGCTCTTCAGAACAGAACCAACCTCTAAAATGAACTATATTCCCTAGTCATTCGGCACATAGTTGTATTGCCAATCTGGCACTAGGTAATCTGCATTCTAGTCTTGGCACTGGTTACTTTCTCTCCCTGGATCATTTCCTCCTCCGTGAAGGGGGCAGAGTCAACAATTACCTCAAGGTCTCAGCATTCAACCACCATAGTCTCAACATGTCACAGCTAGGAGGCCAATCTTGGCTTAGCTCAAGAGTTTTTTTTTTTTTTTTTTTTTATGTGTAAGTCACAAGATTGGGAACCATCTAAGTTCTTCTAAATCCATTACTACCAAGCCCTCTGCTGCTTCATCTGAGCACTGCACAGGTTGACATGGACCATCTCTAAGATCCCTTTCAACTCTGAGATTCCACTATGTTGAGACCAGTCAGTTTTTGAACACCACTTGGATTCAGGTAGCCAAGCCCAGAGACATCACATACACTGAAGTCCATCTTTTACTTTTGGTCCTAGTTATTAACTTTTCCTCTAAGCCATGATACTGGAAGATTTCTTGCCCCAGCTTCTCCTTGATCTCTGTCATTGTCCCCTTACAGGGATCCATGACAACACTGTTACAATGCGCTCGTCAAGTGCAGTGACATCTGCATTCCTGACATTCCAATCTGGAGATGGTCTTTTTATAGTCAGTTTGGTGGGAGGAGGCAGCAATGGCTGCAACACAGACAGGATGAATTTAGAATTGTAAACTGGGTGGAATATGTTGTCCTTAATCTGAATCAAGTTCCTCTAGTCTGGGACTGTTTTCCCAACAGCTCCATCAAGTCTGTTGTTGGTTCCAAGAAGAAGAGAGTTCAAAGAAAGTGCCTAGTGACCTCACTGCCAGGGTTGCCAGCATCCTCTTGATAATTAGCCCATCCAAGTCAAACCTGCACTGTTCTGCCTCCCCTGATAGACAGTAATTTGGAACCCACTCTAAAGAATCAGCACTGTCAGCTGCAGTCTCCAGGGCTGTGGATAAGTTAAGGGTTGGGGCCCTGCCACCAACAGACTTCATAATTACAACGTTCTTTGACAAGAGGCACAGGCTCTGCTCACCCCACAATCTTTGTGGTTGGGCATCTCAGAGGACTGCCAGCCTCTTTCTCCTAGATTCATTTACCAGAGTTCTTTCACTTTCATTGCACCCTGCACATGGCAAGTTGGCATGCGGGTTGTTCCATACTAGGGTCCTTCAGGCTGGAGATAGCTGGTACTGAATATGCCGTGTGCATGTGTGTCTGTGCAGATGTGCGTGGGAGGAAGCTCATCTATGTAAGTGAAAGCGGTTGACACAGTAGCTTCCTTCATACTCTCCACCATATTTTTTGGAAAGGGTCTTTTACTGAACCTGGAGTTCACTGACTCACTAGAATGCGTGCCCACTGAGCTCCAGGGATTGGCTTGTCTCTGCCAGCTCAGGGTTAGGGTTATAGATGTGACCTGTTAGCTCAGCTTTTACACAGGTGCTGGGAATCTGAGCGTGGGGCCTCACACTTGCTCAAGCAATGACTTTCCTGACTGAGCCATCCCATATCTTAAGCGGCTATTTTCAGTATTACTTCAATGGGGTTGTAAGGGGACTATTCTAATGAAGCACTTTAAACCCAGGATCACAAAACCACAGCAGTCAACACAGAACATGAACCACATGTGACTGTGCCATCCTTCCCACCAGAAGCCCTTCTATTCCCTTCCATATACTCAGAGGTACTTTTTGTGGTGGTGTCACAAAAAGTGCTGGCTCAGAACTTCAAATCTGATGGCCCTCGCTCGTGTCCTCTTTAGCTACCAAATCCTGAATGAAGCACAGGTCACATGAAGCTAACAGATGCTCACATCTGCCTCTCATCCTTCTGGCTGGATCAAACTGAGCCAGCTCCTTCTCGACATAGTACAGGACCTTCATGGAGTCTCTCTCTTTGTCAGCTTGGATCCGGTAACCTTTGCGAACTGTTGAGGGAAGCACAAGAGAGTGAGCTAAAAACAGAACAGCAGGAAAAGGGTCTCCATTCACTTTACCAAGCAGAAAACATAGTTCACAGTTAGAACAACTCTTTTGGATTTACCCAGAAATAATAAACTACAGTTTATACACAGAAGGCACACTTGAGATCCTCTACCAGAGGGTGCCACTGGAACAAAGGACCTGGAGCTCAACAACTAAAATCCACTGTAGTGTCCTTGCAGTCAGTCGTTATACTTTCCTTCCTGTTGTATGACTGTCTATAGCTATACCGAGGGCTCACCTCTGCATGGCTTCTGAGTTCCACTGGAGGGGTAAGCTCACACTAAAAAGAGAGAAAAATACCCCTTTCCAGGTTTAAGGCACATGTTACTCTCCAGCATGAGGTTCTCACTGCCACTTGGTAGAAGTGCACATAACTTTAAGGCAGATCCCCAAGCATCACAGACCTACACAAAGGCAGACTGAAAGCCTCTAGTTGCCTGGGAGATGGGGAAAAAATCCTTTAAGCTGGGTGGTGCATGCCTGAGAGCTAATATTAGATTCTAGACTACATACACACTAGCACAAAACAAGCGGCACAACACATGGATTTCTAATCACACTTCCATTTTATTTCCTTAGCGTTTTCCTTTTAGGAAAAGAAATGCCATATTTTAGATGTGACTAATTTAATTCGACCTGCTGCTTTGTGGTTAGAGACAGGTGTTATTTTCAGGGCTTAATAAAAAATAAAAAAAAAAACTAAAGCAAGGGAAATAATACCATCTCCTCCACCTCCATCACTCACATTGTCAGAGACAAAGGTTGTTCACTCCCCATATCACTTAGTCTAGGCCAACATCAGCCCAAAGGGTGATAAGACAACAGCCACCATGGACAGATGGGGGTGGGGGAAATGAAGATGAGAAAGGGACACTGGGGACAACTAGACAATGCTTACTTACTGGACACTGACAATCTGCCAGGCACTATGCTGAATGTTTACAAGGATGTTTGTTCCTCACAACCATGCGTGAAAGGACTGCTGTCAGTCACATTTTGTGGCTGAAAAACTTTGCCTAAGGAGGACTTTGGAACATGACCAGAAATATTTGGCTTGCCAGCACCAAGCATGGAATCATGTGGTCTCACTGAATGAAGCTTGACTGGATTAGGGCATCAAGCCTCTCTAAAGTTTAGAAGGAGATATAGGGTTTGTTTTGTTTTGTTTGTTTGTTTTTAAAGAGACAGATGAAGAAGACATAGTAAAGCCCAGAGTGGGCAGCAGTCTTGGGTATTCCAGAGAGTGTGTGGTCTGAAGTATGGCCCTATCTTCTAGCCAGCAGGAATGTAAAATGGTAGCCAATAACCCCGCTCCAACATTCCCTGTTCCCAAAGTGGTGCACATAAGAAAAATAAGGAAACCACAGAAATGTGTATACATCCAGTAAACGTTTGATATTTTATGTCTCTGGATGCATTACTCTGTGGGTAAAGCCCCTCCCCCAGCTATTTACATGGGAGATTAAAATATAAAATTCTGCAGGACTCCAAACACAACCCAGGCACTGAAGAAGAAAGTCACCCACCCACATACCCATTTGCAGGTGCACAGATTTTCTGTGTGAGAAAACACTGGGCAGGCCATGTCCATCTCAAATTGTGAAATGACTTAGAAAACAATTAATAAGTCTTCGGCACACATTTTGCAGTGGGACCTTCTCCCAGAGGTTAGGTCCATCCATAAGCCCTATGCAGAAGGAATTTCTAGCAGAAATGATTTTATTTATCAAGCCAAACACTCTTCCATTTCTGCAGAGGCGTTTACAGAGAAGTACAGACTGTTCAATTAAAATGCAATTATCCCACAGAACTGCTATGTCTGTACCAAGGCAGTTATGTCTGATGGATGAGGTGCAGGGCTGAAAAACAGGGGTCTAGACATCTTACAGGCACGCTGATGCTGGCTTACTGGAGGACCTCCACAGAATGAAGACCCATCAGGACTCAGTTTCCATGTAATTACTTCAAGAGAAGACAACTAAAAGTTAATTAGTGGAGCACTTCAGTGCTCTGTAATGAATTGGGGTATCTTAAATGCCACCTCAGCTGAAGATCTTCCTTTGGTTCTTATAATTCTGCCTCTTTATGCTCCAACCTTTTTCCTAACTTAAAAATCATTTGATTTGAATTTGTGTTATAGGCCTTAACATATTCTAGTTTGTTCCAAGTTCTTTATATAGATGAGTATAATCTTCTTAAAAATTTCTGAAGATATGATGATTTAAGATTTCCATGTGCCTAAGACTGTGTTTTACATATAATGATTACTAAATATTGGTTGAATTACTCCCAACCTAGGAATAGAAAGGGTTTGTGGCTTCTTTGGAAAGTGTATTCTTTGTAAGCATTAATCCAGAGGCCATAACCTCCCAGAAGGCAATTACTAGATTTTTCTGTTCACCTTGTGTATCTCCAGCATCTAGCACAGAGCCCGGCACATTTTAGACACTCAAAGCATGCACATTCAAACCAACGAATGAAGGATGAATGAACTGGGACCTGCAAGCAGATTTTGTGGATTACAAAGTATGGCATAGGAAGCTATGTAGGTGATTTACTGAAGAATTTTAACCAGGAAGGGAAGGGCTTGAATGGCAGCCTAGGGCAGCAAGAAGGTTTCGTGGCTCTCATTACTGATGCTCATTTTCTAAGGAAAGAACACCAGCATGGCTATAGGCACTAGGAAGGGGTTTGCTCTACCTGCGGCCCTGGCTCTGCCCAGGCCTTCTTCATATGGGAAGCACTTTTACAGCAAATCTTCAGTGTCACTAAAATAAAGGTCACTGATGGGGGGGGGGCTGTTGCTATTTGTAATTAGGTACCAGCTGTCTCCCAACAGAGAGAGGGAGAGAGAGAGAGAGAGAGAGAGAGAGAGAGAGAGAGAGAGAGAGAGAGTATCAGCTATGCTGAGCAACAGCTGGAGGAACTTGGACTAGAGCTTAGATTGTCTTTGGTGTCATTAGGAAAAGTTACACTCCTCATTATGATACAGATTAGATTGTGCACATGAGTTATCAATCTCTGAGAAGTTACAGTAACTACAGCCTGGGGGAAGATGATAGTTTGAGCTTTCAATATTGCATCATGAAGAGGCTCTACTGTGGCAGAATACTTCTGCTTTGACTTCTTCATCATAGCAGCCTGGAACCTTCAGAGATTTCAGTCCATCTAATTTGTCAAAAGACAGAGGCAAACGATTGCTCATCAGACTTTAGGAGCACCATCCATTCGGTTTTAGTTGCCAAAAATCAAGACAATTCTCCCCTTTAAGGGTGTGTCTATTTTATATAAAATTATAAGCTGCAAGTTTGATTGTACAGCACTAAATTTTTCTCTCATTTCCATAGAGTCTGGCTCTGTGTCATATATGTGCTCAAGAGCATATGAATCACCAGAAAACATTTTCTGATCCTCTCCAACAGCATGATTTGCTTTCTGACTGCATTATAGTCTCTCTGTATATTGTTGTGTATTTCTTACCCATTTTATTTCCAACAACAAGCCTCAGCAACAATGCTGTTAGACTATAATTTTTTAATTTCTTTGAGGGCAGGGGAAATTTGTAAAATTTTTTGAGATGGTAGGCTTTGAACTTGCTATATAGTCCAGGTTGATCTCAAACTTGTGGCTCTGTCTCCTGAGTGTGTGCTACCAGCCCCAGTTACAGACTATCCCCTGATTTGAAAAGATGTAGAGGCACATGTTGGGGAAGATGCCTATGATCCCAGCATATGTGAAACTGAGGCCAGAGGATTGCCCATATATATATATATATATATATATCATGTCCCAAAAAAACCAACCTAAAACCCACATGGAATGGTGTCAGGTTGGTTTTTATCTATAATTTAAAGGCAAGAGAACTGTTTGAAGTGTAATGGTATTTTAGCAAGAAATGTCCTAGACTGTTGGCCAAAGTCCAGCATATTTAGAAAATGGCTTTTCCCTGGAGGTGTTTCAGCTCAGGGTCACTGAAGATTTATTCTGTTTTCCAGTTCAGCCTGGTCCAAGTCCTTTGGTTAGCATGCCCACTTCAGCCCCTCTTATTAGTCTTCTAACTTTAACTTTACTAAAGACAGAACATAGAAAACTCCCGGTGATGACAAACTATAATCTAAAAAACTTGCTATTATTAAAGAATTTAAGCTGCTACCTTGACCTAATTAAGGTTGGATTATTTTTCAATCAATTTCTCCATTTATAGCCCAAATCCAACTTAGGAAACCTGCACAGGACATCTCCATGGTGTACTTCCATGGATATAGGCTTCTTCCTGCCCTATCTTAATGAACTCAGTAATGGAGTTTATGGATGATGGAGCAGCTGCCAGATTCCACCCCCAGGGTGACAGCAGCTCAACTGTGGGAGAAGTGACTCTTAAAATTTGCATATTCTGTGTATCTCTATTAATTTTAAAATGGCATTTCAAAAGCCTACTTTTTTACTCACTTCTTAAGCCAGAAGGATGAATGGAGTCTAGATATATCAAGATAAAACAGACTAGAGCAAGGGAACAGTAGGGTTAGGAGCCAGTTTCACTAAGCAAGGTCATGCAGTAAGGACCAAGATAGTTACAGGAGAGATTGAGGGAAATAAAACAATTCAAGGTTAAAGTATAATCTAAAGGCCTTTGTGGTGCATGCCTTTAATCCCAGCACTCGGGAGGCAGAGGCAGGTGGATCTCTGTGAGTTCGAGACCAGCCAAAAAAACAAAAACAAAAAATTAAAAATCTAGCCAGGTGGTGGTGGCACACGCCTTTAATCCCAGCACTCGGGAGGCAGAGGCAGGTGGATCTCTGTGAGTTCGAGACCAGCCTGGTCTACAAGAGCTAGTTCCAGGACAGCCTCCAAAGCCACACAGAAACCCTGTCTTGAAAAACAAACAAACAAAACAAAACAAAACAAAAGGCCTTGGTGACCAACTAACGAGAGAAGTGAAGAATACGGACTAAGAGTGGAATTCCTGCTTCTGATTTGAGCTGCTAGGCAGGCAATGATGCTACCCACTAAAATAAGTTATATAGACTCTGGTTTGAAGCAGAAAAGCAAAAAATATTTTTGGAAACAGTAGATTGGATTCCTAGAGGCTAGGGTTTAAGTGCCTGTTAAGATATCCAGCTGGAGATACTCAGAAATGTTTGGATATATGGAACTTAGCAGCTGAAGAGAAGTCAGAACAAATCATGACTGGGAAGCATCAGCATATAGGTGATGGCTGAAGCCATGAGAGTAGATAGAATTTGTCAGAGAGTGGAAAGCGGACCACAGACAAAGCAGGGACACCAATGCCAGGAAGATGCACATAGGGAGAAAGCAGCAAAGGGCAGAACAGGTAGGGAAACAAGAGTGGAAGGGTGATTGGGTCAGGGGTGGCCAGCATTTTAGAGAGGTCAAGGGAGCCTTAGGATTGTGACAACGTAGCATCAGGCAGCTTGGCAGAAGAAGCAAGATAGAAGTTAATTGAGTTGGTGAGAGGGAAGGAAGCAGAGGCACTGAGTATTGAAAACACTTCCAAGTGAAGTTTGGCTTCAAAGAGCAGAGTTGAAGCACCAGGGTCTCCTACAAATGGCTGCATTTCCGTGGGAGAGATCTGACCACGTTCTGAATGCTAAAAGGAAAGAGTCACTAAGAGAGAAGTGAGGTGGAAAATGGATGAAGTGTGGGTATTCAGCAGAGAACCTGAAGGAGATGGATCCAGAGCCCAGGAGAAGCCTATCTTCTGTCATGGTAACAGAGAAGGGCTTGAGTAGCAGCTGTAAATGATGGAAAAAGGAATCGGGGTACCCCTTATCTTCTGTCATTTGGCAACTAACAGACTCTTTTCTACATATCTTATCACAGATGCCTTTCCTAACTGATGTTCAGAAAAGTGTTTTATACAAATACAACCTGAAAATTACTAATATATATGAAGCAGCATACAGATATAAAAAGGTAGAATTCATATCTTTATAAATCAGCATTTATTAACATTTTTAGTGATCCTTAAAGAATAATCTACATTGGCCCAATCTATCTTCATTAAATGAAAACTGCCCAAACATCATCACTAATGCTGCCCATGACTTTAGGAATGTGCTCCTGGGAACTCTGTCCTGACGCTACAAGACACACATGCCATGATAACACGCCTTCTGACTAGCTCTGGCTAGCACTGGTTGCCATCTTTCCTCTATTTCCTGGCTAACAGAATGGAGTCTAAATTTGTTCACTTCTAAGGCAAATAGTTGTTTAGGCCTGAGAGGTGGGTATTTGTGAGCTCAAGCCCATCGGGTTTGGGAATGGGTACGTGGCGCAATTTGTTTTCATATGAAACTGCTGGAAACAGGCTTTCTAGAGGAGGGAAGAGCCCCTGGGAAACATTTTCTTTGTTTGGGGAAAGTGGCACAAAGAAGAAACACACCTCTTTATCTCTCCAAAGGTATCTAATGCCCAGAACTACTGCTGTCATCAAGGGAGCCACCCAGTGGAGACAAAGCATGTGCTAAAGAGGACAGCACAAAAGACAGAAGAACTCTAGCCTGCACAGATGCCACTGGACTGTGAGCAGCCAAATCAGCAACTACCGTGCCTTGGGATTCTTGTCAAATCATTTTTCTGCTTCTAATTTCAGCTGGTTAATATGATGGGGACAAATAATTGAAACTACAACAAGCAGTAACGGAGAACAGATAAAGGCCAGCCTAATCTACATATTTTATTGTGCTAATCCATTAAATAAAGAGTAAGGTGAAGGGGTTCTGGTCAGACAGGAAAAAGAAACGGGGGCCTTAGAGAGAAATTAGCAACTGAAAGCATGTGTTAAATTCCTCTCGGCTTCTTTTCCCCATTCCTTCCTTCAGGGAAATGGACTATGTTTTCCTTATCACTTGCTTTCCCTGCACATCCTTGATCATTAGCTTTTCCTTCTCAGTTTGTGACTCATTTTCAGTCTCAGACGTCAGAATTCTACTAATGGAAGAGACAAACACAAATACCAATTACTCAGTGAGGATATCTACTCCTGCCACAGTCAGGTATTGGTGGTTCATTACGTGGGCCGGGTACCCCGTCTCACCTCCCACGTATACAGACTGAAGTCACTTAAATCAAGGATGCTTACAGTCTTAACCTTCTCAGCTTGCAATCCTGTTCAAAGGCCTCCAGGAAAGCTGTGTTTTAACATCTCTCTACCCCTCCCCCCTCCTTTGCCCCTTGGCCTCTACTTGCACAGATTCATCTTACCCTGAATAAAGCTGATTGTCCCTCTAATCAGCCCTCTTTGTCAATCATCTAATGTCTGGCTATGATCTGTAGTACTGGACGACTTGGGCTCCTCCTGAATTCTTTCTTTGCTTCATTTCTTGACATCTCATTTCTTTCAAAGCATTTCTCAGATTTAACTTGGCATTTGGACTCCCACTGTCTCCAGCATATACCAGATGCTCATAGAACATACCTGCACATCGTAGTTAGAGCTTTGTTCTCTGCCTCTGAGCTCCTCTCCCACCTTACCACAAGCCATCTCTCGGTGGCTCTCACTTGTTTGCTTCACTAAGCCCCTGATCTTTTAGAGCGGTATCAAGGCCCTCTCTAATGGCCATCAAACTCTTCTGTCTTCTTCCAGGGAGCCCTACAAGCAGGATACTGACATGTTCGCATCTGTGCTCTGGGATTTGACTGTACTACCAAACAACCTTCCTGCTCAGAAGCCCCACAGGGTTCCTAAATCTTCCTCATCCTTCCTGGCCCAGTTCAGACCTCATCTACTTCATGAAGACTATGGTAACTCCAGCTCCTTCATCTGTTGGACTCAAAGTACCATATTCTTTAGCATCCAATTGCCTTAATAAAGGTCCATTCCCTCCTTTGGGAAGCCATATGCTACAGTCTGCTGTCCCTCACAGTGCCTAGTATACTTCTGACCTAGGGGGATGAGATCACTATTTAACCACACAGTCATAGTGTAAGTAGCAAACTCCTTCCCTTTGTAGTTTTAGTTACAAACAACATTAAAAAAGAAAGCAGGGGTCAGAGTGTCTGTACTGTAGCCCTTGGGAACCCTGTAGTGCACTCCAGAAGATACCTGCCTCAGCTGGAAGGGTCCTATATTTGGAATGGAGATCACTGTTTCCCACATCACTGAAGAACTGACTGTGCCTATCAGCAAGGAATGAGGGAGGGGCCCAAGCCAAGCATGGGGTGGGACAGTCTGGGACTACATTTACCACTGTGGCTTCCTCCAGTGGAGTCACTTGGTGCCAAGGGAGGTGGATGCGGCTTGTCCATCAGCATGCCAGAAGAGGGGGCTCCTCCTCCCAAAGGGACAGAGGGGATGGAGTAGGGGCCTGGGACACCGGAGACAGAGGGAGGGTACCCGGACTTGGCAGCTTTCCCTGCTTCATACACTGCGGAGGGAGATGAAGAGCAAGAGAGATTATGTAGTCCCACCCTCCACAACCCTCATACCCCAAATCTCTGAGGTTCCATTCTTTGAAGGGAGTACCTAGACAGCATAAATTCATTCTTCCAAGACTGAACTAGTTCGCTAGACTCACCAAAACCACTTTTCCTTGGATTCCTCCAGCTCCATGAAAAGGGAAGCAATATGAGGAACTACACTGTTTAGAATATGGCAACTGAGCAACCCTGAAGTGGATCTAGGGGCTGTCACAGCAGTATCCCCACTTGGAACCACCCTGTGTATCAGTCACCATGGTCCCTCCAGAGGGAGCTAGCAAAGGGTCATTTAGGGATGCTTCTGGGGGGAGCAAAGCAAACACTGTGTATGTACATCGCTCCTGTCTCTGTTTGCAAAAGCAAAGCCAGTAACTCAATTCCTTCCAACACTGTTTAATTCCTAAAGATTTTAAAGATGGAGTATACTTCTCTCTCTTTCAAGATGCATTTAGTTTATGGTTGGGATGTCAAATTCAATGCCTTCATGGGCTAGGCTAGTAGACTAAAACTGTGAATCCCCAAATGAAAACTAGTCCCTGTTGTGACCACTTTCATCATATGAGTAAAGGAAACATGGGTCTTGCTGGGTGGTACCCAAAAGTCAGTTTTTACACTCTACTTATTCAAGAAGGGTGTTCTCTGCATCAAAGGAGAAGGACCAGTGCAGGTCTTCTCTGTTTGAGTGCTCCGAGGGTCGGGTGCAGCTTAACCCCACACCTTCACCATTCTGATCCTGCCCTTCCTTTAATCTACAGCGTCCATGAGCATCAGGGATGCATGACGGGTATGGATAAACGCATGCAGATGTGCATGGTGGCGAGGAGGGAAACGAGAATGGTATTCCCTGAACCCAGGGGTAAAGGGTAAAGGAGGGACTCAGGGCACATGGCTGTCAGATGGAGAGGTGACATTTCTTCTGATCACTCCACATCTCCCCGCAGACCCCCTACTCACAGGCCTGAGGGCAGCAGCAGGAATCCGGGCAGCACGGGCATCGGACGTAGCAGCAGCAGCTGTGCGGGCAGCACTGGCACCAGCAGATCCCCACGAGCACGAAGAAGAGGAAGATCCCCAGGATCACCAGGCCAACAAACACCCACTCTGGAAGGATGCACAAAGAAATCTACTAGAGGTAGCCCCCCTTCCGGGCACAGCACACACCGATGGGTGTCTCCCTGCAAAAGAGGTCAGTGGGAAGGACCTGGGGAAGAAAGGACATCTAACCAGTACGGAGGGGCCCCAGACTCATGAAGAACGCCGCGTGAGAAATGCTAGGGTACAGAGGAAAGAGAGTCAGGTGGCATGTATCTCTTGAGGTACACCTTGTAGCCAGCCCTGTGATGGGAGTCCTTAGGGTTCCTGACTGGAGAAAAGGGTCAGCTACTGACTGTATCAGAATAAAGCTGGGACAAAAGCTGGGGGTCTTGTGTGCTGGGCTCCTAACTGGTGGAGTCTGTAAATGCTTATAGTTTATAAGTTTTGTTTACAAGCTAAACGTTCTTGCCTTATGTGGTGGTCTATGCTTATAGAAGGCTAAGACAGAAAGGTCAAAGCAACCTGCACTACAATGTGAGACCTCAAACAAACAAAATCTGTAAATCTAAGTCTTGAAGGGCAGGGAGGTTATGGGCCTCTGTGGCCTAGGTAGATTATCTTTATGTGGTCCAGGCTCAGTGTGTATTCATTTACTTTCCTGGGACACCTTTCCTGTGATTAGCACCTCAATATCCATCCATAGTTAGTGAGAAAAATAAGAGAGAGGCATAGTTTTAAGTAGAGAAGACACAGCCCCCCATCCCCAATGTATGAATTTGGTTTGATCACACTCAGGTTGACTATGCCAGCCAGCCAGCATAGCCAAGAATTAAGTGGCTCAGGGTGCTGACGAACGGCAAGGCTGAAATACACACAGCTAATGTGTTTGTCAACTTCTATAATTTTTATAGCTCTGTCTGAGGCTGAACATGAATTTTCTTTAATTTGCTCATCCAAAAGATTTAAAAGGAAGCAAATTCTATCTGGCTTACATAAAAGTGACTGTTACTCTCAGGTGACTTGCCTCAATGTTATGCTATTCAGCTTAGGAAGAGTCCACCTTGTCCCTGGAAATCCAGACAGACTGGTATGACCCATGCTTTTCTTTAGAAGCTAAAAGACCAAAATGATCGAAAGTCATCCATCCAAAATCCCTTTACAATGAGCTTCAGTACACAATGTTTTTATTTAAGTTGGGTTATTAACTATCCGTTCCATTAACTAAATTGTTCATTTGGGAACTTGAGAATGTGATTTTTACATGTAAATAGTTTTATGACAGTGGTTGAATCATTTGACCTTTGGTTGGGACATCATCTGTTCAGAAAGAAAACCAACAGTTTGTGTTTTCTGAATGTCCCCACTTATCCATCTGCAACACATTCAAGTCCATGCTAACCTCACTTCAGCTAGGGACTGAGAAGGCTTTGTGTCTGACTTGAACTATGTGGAGAACATTCATGCTGAGGATAACAGGTAACAAGAGGCTTTAGACAGGGCCTTATAAGCAACATAACTTAAGAAGGTGGGGGTTTATCTCTCAGGTGATTTAGGTCAACTATAGGGATTAGCAGTTAAGGATAAAAGACCAGAAACACAAGAATGCTATCTGAGCCTGGTTTAGTAGAGCATTCCTGTAATCCCAGCACTTGGAAGACTGAAGAAAGAGGATTACTATGAATTAAATGCAAGCCTGAGACACACAGTAGGTACCAAATAAGCCAAGTCTCTAGTACCAAGAACCATCTCAATAATAGATAGATAAATAAATAAATCTGTGAGAGTTTTCTTGGAGTCAAAGAGAAGGAAACTGAGGTGAACAGGACTGGATATAAAATACAGAAACTCTTTTACTTTGAAACATCATATGTGACATTTTTATCTGTGTAAATAAATGCTTACAAATTGAAGGAACTTTTGATAAGGGTGATTACAAAGGGAATGTCTTTCTGTGTCCTTGAGGACAGCATCAACAAGGGAAAAGTCTGAGTTTGCTTGGCCAGTTAAAGGTAAAGGGCTGGATGAATTCATAGAAAACAATTAATGAGGCTGAGCTTTGAAAACTCTAGAGATTTCTTAAAATTTCAATCAAGCCAAAACCAATGGCCAGGGATATTTTATATCTCTCTGTTGCTATTAGGAAGACCTTAAAGATCTGGCAGAAATCAAGGATAATTATACACTTTGATGTTCCTTCTGTGGGTACAAACCTTTCTATAGTTCATTTTTAGCTCTCCCTGAACCTCCTTCAATTACAAGCTACAGTGCAGCATCAGATTGGTTTGTATGGCTGGTGCCTTCACCGGGAAGCTATATGAAAAGATGTATATATGTATTTGGGGGAAGTGATCTTGACATACGGTCCATGGATGCCTAGGGATTTCCATTGTTCAAATATATAAGTAATACAGGTCTGTGAATGCATGCTTTGGCAGGAAGAAGGAGCACATGTCTTTCCTAAGTTTAAAAAAGATTTTTGGTAATGTTACAAAAGGCACTTCCGTGTAACATGAGTGCGCAATAGTGAGTGGGTAAGCATATAATTTAGGAAATAGGGAATACAAATAAGTAATACTTAAGGACACACAACTGTCTGGGTCTGGGTGAAATACTGAGATGGGCCTCAAGATAAGCAATGATGCTGCATGCCTAACACAGAGGGTCTGGGTCTCCGTCTCCATTTATTCTTAATTCCCATTGTTCTTTTAGGGCCTAGGAATAGAAGGCATACAAGAAGCTTATCCAAGGGGCTTAGTTCATCCTGGAAAAAGACAACAAACATTATACAGATAAATGTACCCCCATCAAACAATAATTAGTGACTAATGCAGAAGCAGGCAGATGGAGTGATAGCAAACAAAGAGTCAAATGATTGAATACCTGGCATAATCTCCACAGCAAAACTGGGCAAGAGATCAGCAAGCAGCCCTGTCCTGCCTAGAAGAAGCAGAAGGAAAAGAAGAAGGAAAGAGGTTACTCCAAAGAAAATGCAGCCCAATTCCTGGCACCACCAGTGCCAGGACCTCAGAGGGCCATTGCTCTGTATGCTCTGTGGTAGGAGAGGTGCATCAAGGCCAGGCTCAGTCAAAAGGGATGACTATAATAAGCATTTCTGGAACCCATCCAAAGGAAGGGTGCACCCAGCCTAGGTGGAAGCTTATCTCTGACGGTTTATAGGAAGGGGACATGTTGGCCTCCGTATGAGAAACCCTGCTTGAGCAGACGGACACACACCATCTCCATCTCCCTGCACTCACACAGCCTTCTCCCCACACTTCGGTGGCAAGTCAAGCCCATCTGTATCTAAACATTCCATCTACATTTTCATACAATCCACACACAGCCCCGTGTCCACATAAAAACAAAAGTACATATTTGGTTTTAACTTAGAATTAACTAGCCGCATGATTCTATTTATGGCTTAAAGATATTTCGATGATTAAAATGTTCAAAGGCAACGAAGAGATAATGCTAGACTGGTTCCACACTCCTCTACCCTCCTTCTGGCTTCAGAAACACTCTGTGCATATGTATATGGTATGGTTTTTCCATATGGCGCCCACAGCTGGCATTGGATGTACCAAGTGCCTTCTGTGGGATATTGCAAAGACACTTCAAAGCTGGTGTCAGAGCAGGTGCTTCTCGGGGGCTCTGGGAAGCAAAGAGCTGTACAGGAAATAAGATGCAGCAAGATGTGAGGGAGGAGGCTAGCCTGCCTTAGAGAAGCCACTCTCCATGTTTCCCCAAACTTCCCTTGCCTCTGACTTGTGATGGCAAAAGGCCACTGTGATCGATTTAAGGCATACAACCAAATCCTTCTCCATCTCCAGAACGGCACTGTTCAATGACAGTATGATGCCAACAACATGGGTGAGTTTAGCTTTTCTAGCGACCACATTAAGAATGTACTAACAGAAACAATTACCTTAATATCTTTTTCCCCCCACTTACACCAGTACCCACAACACGTTGTCATTTCAAGGACTCAGCAACCACATGTAGCTGTTCCATGGGCCTGCAGGGTTGTAGCTTATACCAATGATGACTTTCCATTATGAATGTAATTAATGTCTTGCACCACGACATATCTAGAGATGTTTAAAACATTGGCAGCCTTGAATTCTAAATGGTAAACACAAATGAATCTCCTCACTTAACTAGATGCAACAAGAAGTGTAGTTAGAAGTATCACTAGTCCAGATTGAACACACACCCCCACATACACAATGCACACTATACCTTTCCATCCATCCATCCATCCACAGTCCTATTTCCATATAAAAACAAAACTTGTGCACATATATTTGCTCACTGAGAAACAACTGTATTTTTTCCCAGTCTTTTGGATAAGATCAAGTGTAGAAAACCAAATATGTGGTTCAAAATTTGAGTCTAGGAGTCATCGTTTCTTTCTTCTATAAGGAGATCCACCAAAAAGCAGCTCTGACAAAGGTCAAAGGGAGGAAGTCACCCCTGAGACACTAGAGGAGGATCCAGCAGCTAGTGAGTAAGGAGAAAGCAGTCTTTGGTTGCTCTGTTCCCTAGACTCTGCACAGTAGCAGGAGGGTACCATGGTAACATGCATCCTGGTCAAGCCGCCTGCAAGGGAGACACGTCCACATTTGGAAAGCTGCATGCATATTCCAATGCAATATTCTCATTGGCTGATGCTTTAGGCCAGCTCAGCTACAGCAAGCTTCGACAAGAAGGACTCTCTTCCTAAACCTCCTCCATCTTTGTACAGCTGGCAAGGGAAGATGGCTCTGAGGCTTGCAAGGTCTCTCTCAGAAGGAGAGCCAAATGGGCATGAATAAAGGTGTCCTGATAGGGACTTCTCATGCTAGACTTTGGCCCATGCCTTCACAAAATGCTAAGAAGTGCCCCTAAGGATTACACAACTCCCTAGGTAAGAGATGAGATGGAGCTGGGACCAAAATCTGAGCACGTGATTAAAAGCACACACTGGTCTCATCCGGAATGTTCTCTAAAAATATGCCTTGGAAGCTCAATAAGGGAAATAAACAGATGGTCAAGGATTTAAGAAATTCGGATCTTAGACATCTCTTTCACACATACTTAGTATTCATTACCATATAATAGGCAATGATCAAGAGAGAAATATACAAGATTTGTTAACAAAACAGTTATCAGATGCTTAATGGTAGTTTTAATTGTGTTTTCCTCCCCCAAACAATTTGTGTGTGTGTGTGTGTGTGTGTGTGTGTGTGTGTGTGTGTCTGGGTGTAGACAGTTAAATGACAAACTGTGCTGTGTTTATCTGGCAGAACTCAAGACTACCAGTGTTTAAAGCATCTCCAGGTGTTCTGTGGGCCACATTTACTCTTTCCATAAGCTACCAATTTGTAGCTGTCTCATGATACAAGTTGTATAATTTATAGATAATAGATAGGTGCATAAATACATATATATATATATATATGTATAATTTTAATTATTTATTTATTCATTCATTCATTTTGGGTTTCCTGAGACAGAGTCTTGCTTTGTAGCCCAGCCTAGCTTACAATTCACCAGCCTCCTGCCTCTGCCTCCTAAGTGATTAGATTACAAATGTGTGTCACCACATCTGGCTATGATAGCTATTAACTATAAAACATCCATATGGCCAAAGAGGATTTGGCTTTCATACTTATCCCACTTGTGACATCAGAAAACACTGGACTAGGAGTCAAAGTGGTCGGAGATGCGTTGCCATTGATTTACTTGGTAACTGCTTCAGGCAAATCCCTCTCTTTCCTTACCTGACTTTTCTCATAGCAGATGGGAGGACTGGGATGTAGTGGTGTACATATATCTTGATTTTTTCTGAGAGAGTCCTGATTTATGCCCATGCCCTTGATGTAAATATTATTAGGCATTGATTTTTGCTTGCAAAATATCCTCACTTGGACAATTAATAATATGGTCACCATCTCAAATCTGATTCTCAGTGAATGGGATTCCAACCCAAATGTCCATAGGAACAAAATGGTGACACAAGTGAGCACAGCAGGCTATGTGTGAGACAACTGAGAAAAGTGTGTGTGTGTGTGTGTGTGTGTGAGAGAGAGAGAGAGAGAGAGAGAGAGAGAGAGAGAGAGAGATGGCAGTATCATTAGGGGGCCTCTACTCAAGTTCACCAGACATCAGATTTGATGATGAAATATTCTAATTTTAAAACATTAATCCAGTTAGTTCATATATTTTTAAGTAATGAATAAGCCAAAAAATATATCTGTGGGCCATACAGAACCCTGGAATCATGAGTTTGCAACCTCCAAAGGATATACACACAGAGAAAAGGCTGAACTTCCCGTAGGCTGTTTGGGTTACTTTACAGTGTTCTAACATGGCTTTGCCATACAGAGTGACAGTTCTGGTTCCCAGTGTTCAAATTAAGATTTCAAAACAACAGTAGTAACACACTGCTTCCTTAGCCTTTCTTACTTCTGGACATCATAAGAGAGCATCAAAGAGACCTTTATTCTGCACTGTTGACTTTTTCAGTTTTGTAATTGAAAATTATAAACTAAAGAGGGAATTATCAGAAATATGCATAGGAAACTCACAAACTTTGACACTCCAACAGGGAGACCTACATCAAGTTTCTCATTTTCCCTGAAGCAACAGTCAGTAGCTGATGTTTCCAGAGGTAAAGGCTTCCCATAATGCACTTGAGTAGAGTTAGCCCCAGGGAGGCGTGGGTGAGAGAGTCTTGCAGAAAAGTGGGTGAAATTAAATGTCTTTAGAATTCAAGACATACTCAGAGTTTGGGGATAACAGACAACACCACTATATCAACAACATGGGCGTACAGAGCTCTCTGGCTTTTGCACCGTGACACTGATTTTATTGGAGTGAAAATCATTTTAAAAATTGAATTTATACTGGAACCTTTATATTTCTGAAAAACATTTTGCTTCCAGCTCCTTCCCTAACAATTCCGAAGAAATGCTACTGTCAGTTAGAAGTGCGCTATCGTTTCTTCTATTCTATCGCATCCAGTTAGAGTCTGATCTTAAGAGTATGGAAACAATAGCCGTAAAATACACCCTGGGTTTCAGCAGCGCTTTACCATGCTTGCGAATCACTGTTATTCTTCCAGGATTCAGCTTAAGAGAGGTAATTACAAGTCGCTTTAATGTCTGAGGGAAAGATGGGAAGCAGACCCTGTGAGTAGAAGGCCATATTTACTTTTTCAAATCAAAGCACAAGCTATCTGTAGAAAATACGGTTTTCATGTAAGCACTCAGCTTTCTGCAAAGCTTGCAAAACCCATTTCTTTAAGGAAATTTCCACATGAATAAGCCAAATGCATCGAGCACCCTAAGAGCTTCTGCATGCACACATACAAGCACCAGTTTGATAGCATGCTGGTCTACACTCCACAGCCACACGTGCTCCTTGAGTTGAATGCTTGGAGTGGAAGCATGCACTGGGAATGCACGATTTGCATATCTTACCTCCTAATTGTCATATCCAGCTGTTCCCTCACAGTGCCACTTTCAAGCTATCCCCAGTTGAGCTGTTGGTACATATTCCTGGAAAACCAGATCACTTCCAAATGTCTCCAGCTCATTCATTCATTCACTCACTCAACAAAGATGTGTACATTTTGTCAGATGGAGACAGAAGCGGCAACAGAACACAGTCACTTGAGAGGCTCGTTTTAGCCACACCTGCGCAGCTCGAACACCAACATAAGTCCAATTTAGTTATAATCTCAAAGGACCTTCTTCCTGCTACGGCAGTTTATGTCAACCTCCTTTGACTGTGTGTATGTGTGGTATGCATGCGTCTACACAGGCTCAGATATGCTCGGGCACAGACACATGGAGGCCAGAAGTTAATATCAAGAGTCATATCCAGTTACTCTCTACCTTAGATTCTGAGCCGGGGTTTCTCACTTGAGCCTCCAGCTCACCTAGCTAGCCAGG